CAGTCATAGAAATCAGACAATAAAATGCATAAGAAACATTCACTGTCAGTGAGATGATCACCAAACTCTAATTCTGTACAAAGGTGTCAGGAGTAAACTGTTAATTACAATTTTAACTGTGGAACAAATTAACCTTGATTCTGTCTATTTATCATCTTTCCCAAACTGATTTACATTCTATGTACGTACGTTTACATGCCTTTCAGAACATGATCAGGAAACCCAGCAGATACTCCTTCTCACTTACATTTACAGCAACATACAAATTCGTAAATATAATCACCGGTATCTGAGGATCATCTACCTGATATGAATTGGTTCAATGAGAAGTTAAGTGTTGAAATATTGAGACAAACCCTAGTTACACTGCAGACCCTCACTGATTGACTGACAAAATCACGGTGGAATCTCCCACGCAAGTGCATCGGCTCAAGTTACCACACTTCACAGTAGTATACCAAGAACATTTGGGTAGAAAAAACTCATATCAAAGTAGTATGAGAGAATAAACAACCCGAAGATAAAGCTTAATGCAAATACTCAGGCTTTAGATCTGCACCATTGGGACCGATTTCGTGCCATGTCACCAAAAGTCCTCAAATACTGATTCTTCTCATCTCAGAAACCCCAACCAGGCAGTCTACGTTTCCTCACATGACTCGGATTAACAGTTAGGAACTTCATTGGCTGGTGCCAGGTCTTGATCTGGCCACCCTGAACCCACTTCCAACTTCCCCTAGTATGACACACCGAGGTAGGCGGTGGCTCAGCATGCGCAGCACATGTTCTAGTCATATCATTAGATTAAGGTTTAAAACGTCATCAATCGACTAGCATTTCTTGCTTAGTACCCTTCACCTGACATTAACATTGCTCACATGTTGGTTCTACCAAACACCAGTAATGCTACAAAGACAAAAATGTAGGTCACTACGGAGTCACATTTTCGATTCACCTTTTTTATAGTTAGCTCTGAAATGTTTCACAGTACGATGTACTAATACACATAGGTTTTACATTGCTATGGTTCTGCTTGCTACATTTTCTTGGCCTGTTCAAGTGCAGTGAATTCTGAACTTTCCTTGTAGCTTGAACGGTTGAAGTATTGAATTTCTTCCAAGTTAGTAATCATCGGTTGTAGAAAAATGATAAGCAATAGTATAAAATGAATTCCCTTTGTTCCGAGCTTTTATTGCACTTATGTAGGTAAACTGTATATTAAAAATGTTAACGCCAGTTTTTCTAGATTCACGCATAATTGACAAAAAGTAAGTTCACGTATTTTAGCCTACTTTATCATATGTAGAAAATTTTGTTATCCTATGAAGGTGAGATGTCTACGGAGTTTACGTACAACCCGCATTACCTTCTATGTAATATTTTTGTCCTAGTTATCTCTCATAGCTTAAATACTAATGTAAAACCTTTTCCTAATTAAAGTACACAAATTACTGGAAAAAAAAGCTATGATTGTGTAAAGTCAACACTGCATATCAGACTACCTATTGACACTTAATCATAGGCTTATAAAATCCATGCGGTGGTTGATAAGTTTTATGACAAAGGCGGTCTGAAAACTCGTTCTATGAATTACAATTTTCGCTATGTGATTAACTGTTTTCCTAATCTTGGAACAATTTATACTGTTGTGAATATCTTACTGAATTGATTAACAGCATAAAACATTTTCTTTTATCAGGAAATCGAGATTTTCATTTTTACAGCCCTTTGAAAGTAAATGGAAGCCTAATTTACGGTACGAACACACAGATATAGCATCGTATGAGGAAATTAGGAAACCAACAGGTACTATTAGGAATAAGGTTCAGAAAACCATAGATCTAATATGTAGAATGAAACCGTTACTACATGAGTCTAAGTGGCTTCACTAAATGCCGAAAACTAACATTCCCAGTAGGATCTATAATACTGTTAAAATTCTTATCTGATCACACCTAAAAATTTTTAGAAACACCCCAACTTATGAGTTATATAAATATTTACCAATGGTACTAGGTCCATTTAGAAACTAACCCCAATTTACACTTACTAATTCAGATTACTTGAAGCATAGATTAGATGATATGCATTCAGATGGCGGTTAAAAATGGTTAGTTTTGATATAACTAGTATGTGTACTAATATACTGATTGAAATGGATCTGAAGGCAGTTAGAAATGAGCTGTGCAATGACCATGAGCTTACTCTTCCAACTAAGGAGTCAGTAAAGATTGTGATAGAAGTACATCTATCCCTGACTTTTACAATCTTTAAAATGAAGTATGTAAACAAATGGAAGAAATAACCACGAGGTCACCGATATTTTCCTATCGTGGCAAATATATTCATCGATAGCTGGGAGCGGGAGTTGAAAAATGTGGCTTCGATATAGACAGACAGACATACAAGACCAAAGTAGGAGCAGATATTACTTTGTAGTGGTTCAAGTATTTTATATCAGCACAACAAGTGAGAAAGTACTAAGATGAAAGATAAGGAAATGAGCAAGAAAGCAGTAGAAAACCGTGATGAAATAACAAACAAGAATAAGAAAATACTCCATTCAGTATGACGATTAAGACAAGGATAATATGTGAACACATCTTAGCCACTAAGATCTATTCCGAGTCATGTCCCTTAGAGTTTCCAACTATTGGTCTATATTGTCACTTGGACCTCAGTCGGAAAGCCTATATTTCCTTACATAGCTCAGAAAAACAGTTAAAAATTTCAAGCACTTGTACTATGTTAGTGGTTTCCATATGTAGACACGTTAACAGTAATGAAATCGGAGCACATAGATAAGTTCATTACAAATATAAACTCAGTAATGAAGGCAATCCAATTTATCTATAAATTAGAAAGCGATGAAGGGTAATTACAGATGTCGGATTGCAGCATAAAACGAAAACAGAACGGGAGTTTAGACTTCAAAACATCCCACCGTATCTCACTGAAAGTAGGCTCAGCAAAATACCTAAGAAAAGGGGCAAGAAACTTACTATTAAAACAGGCGATACGTGATCAGATACATTACGGAAACCTTACACATTAGTCACTTTGTTAAATTAATTATTAAATTCATTGGTAAAAGGTCTGAACGAATAACACCCTTTTCAATGGATTTCCAGCGGGTTCTACAATTATAAGATATACAAAAACAAGCTAAGATAGAGGCGAGTACATTTTCAGAATGGAATGAGATCTAGAAACTGTTTTCATTACTATCATAGGAATCTTAAAATGTTTAGAATCATAAGAGTTATCAGTGATTTTAAGAAAAGTATGACTAGCAGTAGCACAGATGTCAATGATCGTGATAATGATAAAACAATGGCAACACTGTGAAGAGAAGATTACTTTACACAGAAGGCACCTTAAAGAAATTATGTAGCATTCCTAACAAGACTGGGATTACGGCGGCTTTAAAACCTACAGACTCAGAAAAAAGCCTTGTAAGTTAGATCTTAAAGATAGAAGTAAGCAAAATAATTCGGTTTCTCAAATCCATTGCAAAGATTGTTAGGTCGAATACATAGGTCTAACAGTCAACTAGGGTTAATCAGGCTGTTCGAGCACAAAATCCCAGCTAAATCATTATTGGTAGACCCTAGTAAAATAAGGAATCTTGAGTAAAGCTCAATTATAGCTAGGGATGCAACCACACACAACCACGCAATACGATGGAACAGTGAGACTTCTTAAAATTAAGTTGACGGGTAGACGCAGAGATCGGTGACCGAATCTTGGTTTATTGAATCAATACTAAATACGTACAACAGGAATGACTCAGCACCCTTCCAGATAAAGGGAAAATTCTTCTACCCATATCAAAGAGAGAATTAGAACTAAGCAAATTGTCTCTATGTTATGGAGTTATCGTGAAACGACTACGAACCGTGAATTGCATCCGAAACGTTATCCAGTAAATAGTAATAATAATCTAATAAACGAACGAAAAAGGGAACTACATCCTATGAGTGCCCAAGTTCCACTTACAATAATAACCGTTCCAATACTAGACTTCAAACCACGTTCGCAGTTAAACGAAACTACTTGGCTACTTGAAGTTAAGCAGGCTGAGCAAGATCCAAAGACGAATCACAGGGGGAAGAAGACTAAAAACCTAGACATTTGGATAACAAATTAGTGACATCTGTAACCAAAGTGGGTTAAATCTGGGGTACGAAAATAATGCTTTGCTTACTAAACTATAAAGACCATCAGTAAGTTACTTGAGACGGGATTGAAGTGAACAGATAGCCAACCTGAAATTTATACGTGCTAACTAAGTAAATTAAGTTACAAAATATTTTCTGTTTCTTATTATATAGCGTTACAGTACTGTTTACTAGTCAATGGGCGAATAATTTGCTATAAGAAATCAGTCTGCTTTTTAACATCAGTCGTTCTCATGTTTTAGTTTTCTAGCACCCTATAATGTCATCATGTTGGTGTCAAATTCCTGTCCCATACTACAGTAAAATAAATTGAACTGCACTTTTAAGCAAGATGCTACGATCATCTATCCTACAAAGCCTTAATTTCATGCTTTATTCGAAAAAAAATAACTCCGAAAGTCTCGCGGGTGCGGCAGCTTTTAGTAGCGAAAGGAATCTCTGCAGACAAAATTTTAGATGCAGTAAATTCCTATATATGTTCCAGAATACAGTATAAAGAATGAGACGAATCATCTCACTTGTATAGAATAGAAAGAAACGACATACGAATTGAAAAAGTCTCTCTTTCCTTTTGAAGTACACCCACTATAATGTTTTTGTGTTTTTAGTAACTAACTGAGTGAAAATAACAATGTATCTTCTAAGAAATATCTAGTTCACAATCATAAAACTGAATTATATTTGATGAAAAAAAGTGTTCTCAAGAATAAAGTATACCAGATCAGTCAATCAACACAGAGGGCCTTAAATCATAAACACAAGTCAAATGAAGATAAAAAGAAGATATTGAGTGGCAAGTAAAAACATGAGAACTACGACTCATGATTGTCGAAGCCTAGCTAAGCGCTGAGTCAGGCCATCTTCTTCTTCAGCTGAAATAGGGGCTACTGAAAGAGAACGAGGAGTTGTAGTATCAAGTTCTTGGTTAAGCTCGATTCCAGTTTCATCAGCTACTTGATTTATTAGCCCCTGAACTTCGTTCTCAGGAGTTGTAATGGACATTGTATTCGCTAAAGATGAGCTTACAAGCTGTTTTCAAAAGGTCAAGAAGAATAACAAGACAAACCTTAGACTGTATGTCCATATTTTCAAACTCTGCTTCAAACCTATCCATGAGATTGCTAACCTTTTCCATATCCATGGACTTTGCCGCATCTTCCATACACGAGACAACTGTTAAAATGCTCCTGGTGAAATTCTTCGTCGTAACAGCTGCCTGGACTCTGGAGACAACGGCGTCTATTCGAGCAGCAAGTTTCAGGTAGCTGGTTGCCGTATGTTTGTGACGAATAGCATTTTCCGCATGTATCCTTGCCCCTTCCGTGTCTCCTTTCTTAATAGCAGCCTTCAACTTATTCTTCGATTCTATTTCGTCTCTATTGCAACGCATAGCAAAACGCTGCATTTGCTTGCCAGCAAATTTAAGGTTAAAAACTTGTTTCTCCATTATCAGACGATAGGACTGAAATGACCCTGACCTAGAAGGTCAAAACCTTTAATTGCACCGCTCTATAATCAAAATGGTTCAAATGCTTCCAATCGTTGTTCATGGACGAGAAGATTTCGCTAACTGTCTTCGGCGTCTACAATCCGTGGATCACTGCTCCTTGCGGTTGTTAACCTGCGTACAGGTAAGGAAAGGGAAAAACGTAGCGGTTAAAATGTGAAAATTCAATTGGTTCTGGGCAGAACCCAGATACATGTCAAATGGGTATCCGGTCGGCGTTAAAGGGATTCAGACAAATGGCCTGGCTCACATCTTCATGACGAGCGTTCCAGGGTGTAACAACTCTTAAAGAATAGAAGTCGTGCCTGACATCTTACCTGCTATGTTCCAGGCTTAGTTTCTGTGCGTGTCCTCGGAAATTAGTGCTACAGCTAAGATTTAATGAGTGACGGAGTGGGTGGACAGGCGTGTTGAGAATGTTGTGAGTCATTGTCAAGTCTCCTCTTAGCCTTCTACATCCCAGAGGATACGGATCCAGCGCAACCAGTCGTTCTTATATTTCAGGTCCCCGAACAGATTTTGTCAAACGCCTTTGGAAGCGTTCTGCGCTTAGTTTGTCCTTCTGGAAGATAGGGGACGAAACAATGGCCTCGAACTCCGGGTGGAGCCACATGAAGCTTTGGTGGAACCATCTTCGACCGGATTGTCCGAAAATTCGTCCGAGTCAATAACTCCGAGTTTCCACGGCATGCGTTAATGTCACAGCTGGCATAGGATTTTCAGGTTTGGGGGACTAAGATGCCCGAATTCTTCTCCGCTAGTGATGCTTCGAGTCCCACTTCCTTGAGGCTATATACATGAGATGCATTGTGTTTTACGTGTACCACCTTGCGTTCCTTAGGATTGTATGCAAGCCCGTTGGCGACTGCCTAGTTTCGAAGTTGAGTGAAGTCATCCTGCAAAAGAACAATATCTTCCACACTTTTGATTTCTCTCCAGAGTTTCGCACCATCAGCGAAAAGAGGGATTTCGTAGGAAAACTGTTGGGGAAAGACGTTTGTGTGTTGGAAAAAGGAAAAGCCCCAGTACTTAACCCGAGGAACACCACTAAAACTCTCTGCTTCTTCGGACATAGAGAAACTCTCTTGAACTCTAAATGAACGGCCTCGTAGATATGAAGACAACCAGTGGTAGGTAGCATCAAGCCATCCTTGGCAGTCAGCAATGCTAGTCCATATGTCTACTCCAGTGAGCGAATTGATAGTGCAGGAGCACTCTTTTTGAAATTCATGTTTTTGGGGAGCAAAGGAGTTTATCTTTGTGGGGTAATCCCTCAGTCCGTCGTATATAAACGATTCCACTACTTTGGAAGGGATGGGTAGACGTGTCACTGGTCTGTATTTCTTTGGATTGGTCCGTCGACCCCCCTTGAAGATCGGCGTTATGTGGCCCAGATTCCAAGAGTCGGGCACTATCCTCTGACTCAAAAATTCCAAAACAACTTGCTCAAAGGTTCAGAAAAGATTGAAGCTCCCTCCCGCAGTGCAACCGGATGGATTTTATCCGGTTCCAGAGAGGTGCTTTTAGTGAGCAGTCGCAGTTTGCGCTGTACTAGCTCAACGCTTAGGTCGACGACCGAGAGTCCTACTTCGTTAGCGAGATATTCATAAGCTCCCGATTAGGTGGATGATGACGAAAAGTTTTGCAGATACCGGTCGGCCAGGAGCCCAACTGCTTCAGTGCCTCTACCAGTCAGTTCGTTCCCACCTTGTAGTTGAGAAACTCCCACTTTAGCCTGCCGGAACGAAGCAGCGTAACAAATCAGGCTTCTCGGGTTGGAAGCAGACATGTTTGTAGGCCTGACTTGATACCTCTGCCGATAGGCTCTCAATGCCTTCGTACATATTTTTCTTGTCTGTTTGAGTTGTCTGTAAGTATATTCGGTGCTAGCCTTTTTGTGTTCAGCTCAGCGGTGTCTCTTTAATCGAAGTAGCTTGCGAGCGTAGTTGCTTATTACCCTAGGTAACTTGAGGCACTTCGGTTTCGAAAGTGAGGCAGACTGACTGATTGCATGCATGATTTTGCCAAGTATAAATCTCCGGTGGGTGTCCATATAATAATGGTAATGTATCATTACAATTATTTCGAAATATAAACCATAAGAACACACGCCGTTTTTACAGGCGATATCTGAATGTCACCGTCGCCGTTGGGGCCGATGAAATTTATAAAGAATACATCGCCACACCATACGTAGTCCACCAGGACGCAATTATTTACATGTTGCTGGTTGAAAATATTAGATAATAACCCTTTCGCTGCATGACGATGATGAATAGTAACACAGGCATTATCACCCAGTATACGCTGTAACCAGGCATCGTGATTAGGCCTCTAAGCCTCAGTTAATGAATCGCATAAACGGTAAAAGTAAATAGAACACCAAATGCCAAGCATAAAGAAAGCTGAAAAAATGTGAATGTTACACAAGTCTTTGTTGTCAACAGAGAGCGTTTAAAACTAGGTTAAAATCCTGGTATGAACCGATGAGAATATTAGGGATCAGTGTCACACAGTGTCAAGCAGCATGTGGCGACTGTTTGGGTCTGTGTCACTAAAAACGAATTCACAGGAAAAAATAAGCTAAGGTCGTGACTCAGCCCAGAAACTGTTCTCATTTTGCGGCAGGCGGAATGTAAGGTTTCATCATTAAATCATTCAATGTGAGGTCGGTTTCGTTGCCCTTCACTGCCAAATGAGTGGCTGTTATAAGTCGGAGAACCTGCATGTTTCAGTCCAAATAGCATATAATGCCAATATTCATAGACACAATCCCAATCAGAGCCATGAATTTGGGTTGAACTGTAAAATTATTCATTATGCTGCGGTCTTATTGTGAATTCGTCTATGAGAAAGAAAAAGAAACGCGGGCATGGAACAATTTCTCCTGTACTTAAGTCGATGAGTGATGAGACGCGAACAGAAAAACCAAAGAAAGATAAATTAGATATGGGTTTAGGGGCTGCGGCATAAAAATTATGTTTTTTCAGTAGTTAACTATGGTGAAATAGTAGTCAGTGACTTTTGATGCACGATAAACATGAAGTACAGCACTGAAGCTATTCGTCTGAACGGCGGAGCATATCAGTCGACATGCCTGTTCAGGAATTTCAGAGACAACGAATGAGTAATCGTCATGCATACGGGCGTATACAGAGGCCTCTAAATAAGAAGTAGGTTTTGGCGTGACGAAGTGAATCAACAGAAGTCTTAGAGTCCAGAAAATAAGACAACTTGTTGTACAGACGTCTGCGAGGGATCCTGAGAACAGACTTTCCAGCGATGCAACTAAGTGCATTTGGAAGTCGTTTGGAGTCAGGCGAGTATGCTGCTCACCATATGGGCTACCCTACTTCGATGATACCGGTAATACAGTGGAGAGAAAACTGCCTGATACACAGAGTTCTCACTGTTTCAAATTAAGAGCTATTTCACCCATGGAACAAAAGTTAGAAAGAGGTCGCACCTTCATTTATTCCTAAGTTACTATCAATTTTACTACCTTGGACACACTGGAGTCTTACAGACCCATCTCTGAAAACATCTATTGTAAGACATCTATCTACAAACGGACTGTAGATATCATCCGAACCCGAAAGCAAGTTGATAGGGACCTAAAACCATGACGCAGGGGTGCTGGGGCGTTCGGTTACAAGGAGCCTATTCCAAATCAAGCTGTAATATGTAGCAAAGAATTTAAATCTGACCTGTTTATTGCATCTATCTATTGCCAACGTCAGTGTATGATTTCTAAGGTCATATGGCGGTACATATCTTCAAGCGGGTGGGGAGGAAAAGTATGACAAACCACCCAAAGTTTTGTACAAGAGAATTAGGTTGTTCCCTAGATGTCGTCTCCACAGCGGTTCAATATACTGTATAATGTACCCATCTGTGTGGTCTACATTACCAGCGCAACTCAATAATAGTCTGATGAAACTCCTTTGGACATATTCAAGCCGTGATTTGTCACTTTTGTCCATGTTAGAAAAAAGAATGAGCCATATTTCGATTTCGGTCTGACACAAAACTTAAAAAGAGCAAGTTTGGCCTCTTTTGTATAGAAGCTCTTCGGAAAGGGGCCTGATAATCTTCTAGATTTAGAGACTATAGCTGTGACACGCTCAGTGATGTTAAGGTCACCAGAACCTATGACGCCCAGATAACATACCTTATTGAGTATTTGAATTCCATGATCTAAGGGCAGCACGCTGCTAGGATGATACTTTCCGAGGTGTAGAATTCCACATTTTTCATGGTTGAATTGAGGTTGCCACTTCTGACTCCGCTCAAGTAGATTACTTAAATCTGCCTGAGCTGCTGACAGACCTCCAGTAATTGCACCATACCGGATAGTGTAAACTATCCCAAGATCATCAGCATAAAGATGTGGTTTTCCGTGTCTAACCACTTCACATGTTTCATTAATATACATGAGAAAGAGAGGTAGACCAGGAACGCTTCCTTGTACCACACCGCTTTTAATTGGTTGAGGGTAGGAAAAGCAGTCTATCGGATGGGGGGATCTGGCTTCAATGAAATCGTCACTCCCGCCAAACGCGTGATCTGCAAAGTTGACCTTCGGTGGGCTGAAGTCGCCCAAAGTAGCATATGTGTGTGCCCAGTTTAGGAGAGCAACTGATTGCCCATAGCATCAGACGTTCATACTGTAAGTCAGAAGATTGCCTCCTATAAATGACTCCCACCAAGCACTTTATAGCCTTGGACAGCTTTATTGTTCACCAAATGGACTCCTCCAGGTATTCCGGTTCTTAAATATGGATTTGGTGGGCTGACAGAGATGGGAGCTGACGTAAAGTTCTACCTAGAAGCGGTTTTAAAATGGTCAGTTCCCACTTTCGCGGTTGTTTCTTAACCCGCAGGCAGTTTTAATGGAGACGTTGCACTCAGAGGCTACGTCGCCTTCGTTTACAGGTGCG